AAATCGAATCGTTTTTACAGGATAGTTTGGAGAGAGAGAGAGAGAGAGAGAGAGAGAGAGAGAGAGAGAGAGAGAGAGAGAGAGAGAGAGAGAGGTTGGCTACTGCGTACCAAAAGTGAAAGGAATGTCATTGTTGACCACGCAAATGTCACGCAGTAGTGAACTTTTGGGGACACGGTTGTTTCGCATGTGGTTTTCACCGCTTCATAAACTCGGCCACGTTTGACATGATATTTCTTTAAAAATGACAAAAAGAAAGAGACAAATGCCATCGCTTGTTCCCCTGAATTTCTTATGAAACAACATGGCTGTCCCGTGATGATTCCTGCTAGACAGACTTATAGAATTCGTCAGACTTCTGATGAAGGCCGTTACGATCTCTCTCTCTCTCTCTCTCTTAGCAAAGATAGAAACTTTGCAATTGTTTTTTCTACAATATGTACTTGTTAAAAAAAAAACAGTTCTCACGCTGTATTGCATGCTGCTTCGATCCCCATTGTGGTTTACAGAAGCGTGGAACAATGTGAACGATGTCTACACTAGTGTCGGTTGATACGACGCTGCTGTGTTGATGCCCATTCAACTTCTCCCATTTCAATTTCTTGCATCTTGTCACGTGTTGCCGTTCACTGTCGACCTCCTTATACCATTGCACAAATCCGCAGCTGTGTTCCATAATTTCGCTGTTCGTCGGTGCGGCCACGACAAAAAACATGGCTACTGATGCAAACCATGTGCATTAGTTCTCTGCTCTAATTGCAATGTCACTGTGCACTGGTCTCCCATGGAACTGTGGTGACGCTCTTGCAGTTTGAACAAGTGTGCCTCTGTTTGTTCCGTCCTGTATGCAGGCGATGGCCAGGTGTGTTCGTGTGTGTATAAGCAGGTCATCAGAAGGAGGTTGACAACCATTCTCCACCATGTAGGTCGTAAGCGCTGCTCGAAAATCACGTTTGAAAGGAAGCCCTTCGAGTATCTTACACGCACGGTTGTCAATGCCTTCTCCCTCCCGTATGTGCTCGTCATCGATGTCGAACCACTGCAGTTGTAGGATTGCCGTATCACGTAGTGCGAGGGTATTCATTCCCGTGGCCATGCAGTCTGTCACAGACGATCGGTTCTCGACCATTCTCTTCCTCCGTTTCCTCACGATCCCGGTCTCTTCTTGCAACGCCAATGACCGGCGTACGTGGTTCACCATCTGGGTTGAAGCTTTCCGCTTGTTTGATGACAGGTATGGCTGTTTGCARAATTTYCTGTGGTGATGCTCCCAAAYGTCTGTTGCGAAGGTGTCAGGAACAMCGGATCGCTCAATACACGTTCTCAGATGCATCAGATCGTGCAACTTGGGGAGTTTCCATTCTGATGGTTGATATCTCCCCAATTTCGCTTTGATGGTCATAATGAAGTCCGTGATCAAAGCATCGCATTCATCGAGCGAAGCACGAGTGTGTGTTGTGCACCGAAATACTCGTACATACATTTCCATCAGTTTCACAAAACAAAGGGTGATGCCCTTGCCTGTCGAGCGCGGGATAATATTACAAATAAGGAACACGCACACTGTCATCACAGACGGGTTTTGCTTCGCCTCGAACCGACCCTCCCTCGAAAAAAGATCGCTGCCAGTGGCCACCGGCAACACAAGTTGGGGGTATGTTCGCGTGCATCTCTCACTAACGCTCTGCAACCTGGCATCTAGTTCCTTGAGGATCTCTGTTTGCGGTATGTTCGGCAACTTGTCAAACGCTACCATCCTGAATGCGTCAATCATGTGCAGGAATATGCCATGCTCGATTGTGTGCATACGGTCTGGCTGCAATGCCAGGTGGTAGTCTAGCTGAGCGTCGTCACCATTGGGGCCCCTGTAGAACCTCCAAAGGCCGTTCTTTTGAACATGCCTATGCATGTTCAACTCTGACATTCGTCCTTCCGCTGCACGTCGCACGTCGATGTCGCCGGATGTGAACACAACTGCTGTGAGGTGTGTTTCGAGCGTCTGTGATCTCCTGCAGTCCGTGAAATCGGCTAGGACATCAAAGTCAGTTTTGGACACGGTGCATGTCGGGCATACGCCAAACTTTACAGTCGCAAGCGCACATCGTTCTGGGTAGTCCTGTATATAGTTGAGGAGGAAAGGGTGGACAGTTATGTCCCCGAATCGTGTTGTAGGTATCATTATTCCGTCATGAGATGCCTCCTTCGCAGACTGCAACACCACTGTAAGGGCCTTGTGCAAAATGACGGCCTTTCGCTTTCTGAATGCGGTGGACTGTTGACCCCATTCTCTGTCATGTGGACGATGATGAAGCACAGGAAGATAGGCCAGCAGTGTGGCTTCGGATGCGTGGTCGGCTAGGGACATCATCAAAGGGTACGCCGTCTGTTTTTGATGACCGTCCGTGTGTGTCTTGTCAGAATAGAGCGACAGAGGGATAACATAACGTGGATTTCCATTTCCGTCCACACCTTTGTCTGCTCGAATGATCGACTGGATGTGATAACTTAGCGCCCCGCTGCGTGGGCCAGATATATTGAGGTCCTCTGACAGCGGGGACACCTCTAGAGAAGACATCGTCTCGCATTTCTGTAATGCGATATTAAAAATCGACAGAAATGTGGTTCGCCAATCGCGGTGCCACAAGATGGCGTGCGCATCTCATGGCTAGTCGTCGCTACGCAGATCCGACTCCTTCCATCCCGCAGCCTCTGCTAGACTGCCTGCCCATGTCAAACACTCTCGACCATTACAGTACGCAATGTCTGTCGTGCTGAATCTTGGGTCTTTGAGAAGTGACAAGAGAGCATCTATGTCACTCTGCGACATACCGACGCCGCCCCTGACAGAGAAAATCAGTGCCGCAAGCTTGCGAGAGCTGTCAAAAGACTCGGCAGGCGGCGGTTGCTGCTCTGCGAATG